CAGGGAATCCATCAGGCCCTGGACTCTTGTTTTTTGAGAGGTTTTTGATCACTGCTTCAATCTCCTTACTGGTTATTAGCCTATTCAGGTTGTCAATATCTTCCCGTTTAAGTCTTGGCAGCTTATAGGTTTCCAGGAAGGCCTCCATTTCATCCATTGCTCAGTTTATTGGCACATAGTTGTTGATAATAATTTCTAATAATTGTTTCTATTTCCTTGGTGTTAGTCGTGATCTCTCCCCTTCCATTCATAATTGTATTAATTTGGGTCCTTTCTCTTTTCTTTTGGATAAGTCTGGCCAGTGGTTTATCGATCTTATTAATTCTTTCATAGAACCAACTTCTAGTTTCTTTGATCTGATCTACTGTGTTCCTGGTTTCTAATTCATTGATTTCTGCTCTAATTTTAATTATTTCTCTTCTAATACGTGGCTTAGGCATCATTTGTTGCTTTTTGTCTAGTTCTTTAAGGTGTAGAGTTAGTTGGTGCATTTGGGATTTTTCTATTTCTTTGAGTGAGCCTGGGATGGCTATGTATTTCCCCCTTAGGACTGCCTTCGCAGTATCCCATAGGTTTTGGACCAATGTGTTTTGCTCTCATTGATTTCCATGAATTCTTTAAGTTCTTCTTTGATTTCTTGGTTGGCCCAAACATTCTTGAGCAGAGTGGTCTTTAGCTTCCAAGTGTTTGAATTTCTGCCTATTTTTTTCTTGTGGTTGAGTTCCAGTTTTAGAGCATTGTGGTCTGAGAATATGCAGGGAATAATCTCAGTCTTTTGGTATGGGTTGAGACCTGATTTGTGACCCAGTATATGGTCTATTCTGGAGAAAATTCCATGTGCACTTGAGAAGAATGAGTATTTTGTTGTTTTAGGGTGGAATGTTCTATAAATATCTATGAGGTCCATCTGGTCCAATGTATCATTCAAAGCTCTTGTTTCCTTGTTGATTTTCTGCTTAGATGATCTGTCCATTGCTGAGAGTGGAGTATTGCTGTCTCCTACAATTAACATATTGTTATCAATATGACTCTTTATTTTGGTTAACATTTGGCTTATGTGGATGGCTGCTCCCATGTTGGGGGCATAGATATTTACAGTTGTTAGATCTTCTTGTTGGATACACCCTTTAAGAATGATATAGTGTCCTTCTATGTCTCTACAGACTTTACTTTAAAATCTAACTTGTCTGATAGAAGAATTTGTACCCCAGCTTTCTTTTGAGGTCCGCTGGCATGGAAGATGGATCTCCATCCTTCACTTTCAGTCTGGATATATCTTTAGGTTCAAAATGAGTCTCTTGTAGGCAGCATATGGATGGGTCCTGTCTTTTTATCCAATCTGCAACCCTGTGCCGTTTTATGTGAGCATTTCAGACATTCCCATTGAGAATAATTATTGAAAGATATGAATCAATTGTCATCATGTTGCCTGTGAAGACCTTGTTTTTATAGAGTGTCCCTGTAAATTTCTGTTGTATATTACTCTTGGCGTCTTTCTCCTTTTATAAACACCTCCCTCCTTTAATATTTCTTGCAGAGCTGACTTAGTGGTCACATATTCTTTCAGTTGTTACTGGTCGTGGAATCTCTGCATCTCTCCATCCATTCTAAATGACAGCCTTGCCGGATAAAGTATTCTTGGCTGCATGTTCTTCTCATTTAGTACTCTGAATATGTCTTGCCAGGCCTTTCTGGCTTGCCAGGTCTCTGTGGATAGGTCTGACATTATTCTGATGTTCCTCCCTCTGTACGTAAGGAATCTCTTCCCCCTAACTACCCTGAAGATGGTTTCCTTGGTTCTAAGATTTGCAAGTTTTACTATTACATGCCGCGTTGCTGGCCTGTTTTCCTTGATCTTAGGAGGGGTCCTCTCTGCCTCTAGGATGCGAATGTTTGTTTCATTCCCCAGATTAGGGAAGTTCTCAGCTACGATTTGCTCAAATATATCTTCTAGTCCTCTCTCTCCACTCCTTCCGGGATTCCAATTATTCTGACATTGGAACGCTTCATTGTGTCACTTATTTCTCTGATTCTATTTTAATGGATTCGGAGTTGTTTTTCCCTGGCCTCCTCTTTTCCCTTTTTATCTATTATATTGTCTTCCAGGTCGCTTATTCGCTCTTCCGCTTCACTTACCCTAGCTGTTAGACTATGTAGATTGGATAGGATCTCACTGATAGCATTTTTAAGTTCTGTCAATTCACCTTTAATTTCTGCCCTTAGAAACTCTATGTTGTCATTAATTGATTTCTCCATTCTAGCCATTGTCTTTACAATTGCTAGCCTGAATTCCATCTTCGACATATTGGTTATATCTGCATCCATTTGTAAATCTGCAGCATAAGTCATAATCTCTGAGTCTTTTCTATTTTGGGGCTTCTCCTCCTAGTCATTCTGTGGATGGTTGTTTGAGGGAATGTATAGAGTCCAAATTTTTGACCAGAACCCAAGCAAGTTGCACCTGTGTTCTTGGGACTTTAGGGTTGCTGGCCTCTCGTTTTCCCAGCCTGTTTTCTGCGGGAAGGGCCTCCCAGGCTGTTGCTCAGGCAAGCCTGTTTGGGCAGAGTTCCCTGCCCCCGTGTGGCTGGGGATGGGCTCAGCGGGAATCAGTCTTTGGGGATTTTGTTCTCTGGCGGCGTTCCCTGGTGCCTTTCTTTCTTTCTTTTTAAAAAAAAAATTTATTGTTATGTTAATCACCATACATTACGTCATTAGTTTTTGATGTAGTGTTCCATTATTCATTGTTTGTGCATAACACCCAGTGCTCCATGCAGAACGTGCCCTCTTTAATACCCATCACCAGGCTAAACCATCCTCCCAACCCCCCCCCGTAGAACCCTCAGTTTTTCAGAGTCCATCATCTCTCATGGTTTTCTTCCCCTCCAATTTCCCCCCTTCATGCTTCCCCTCCTGCTATCTTCTTTTTTTTTTCTTAACATATATTGCATTATACTTTTCATAGGTAAAGATATGAGATTCAACAGTCTTGCATAATTCACAGTGCTAACCAGAGCACATACCCTCCCCAGTGTCTATCACCCAGTCACCCCATCCCTCCCACCCCACCCCCCACTCCAGCAACCCTCAGTTTGTTTCCTGAGATTAAGAATTCCTCACATCACTGAGGTCATATGATACATGTCTTTCTCAGTTTGACTTATTTCGCTCAGCATAATACCCTCCACTTCCATCCACTACATTTGAAATGGCATGATCTCATTCCTTTTGATGGCTGCATAATATTCCATTGTATATATATACCACATCTTCTTTATCCATTCATCTGACGATGGACATCTTGGCTCTTTCCACAGTTTGGCTATTGTGGACATTGCTGCTATAAACATCGGGGTGCACGTACCCCTTCGGATCCCTACATTTGTATCTTTGGGGTATATACCCAGTCGTGCAATTGCTGGATCATGTGGTAGCTCTATTTTCAACTTTTTGAGGAACCTCCATACAGTTTTCCAGAGTGGCTGCACCAGCTTGCATTCCCACCAACAGTGTAGGAGGGTTCCCCTTTCTCCGCATCCCCGCCAACATCTGTCGTTTCCTGACTTGTTTATTTTAGCCATTGTGACTGGTGTGAGGTGGTATCTCATTGAGGTTTTGATTTGGATTTCCCTGATGCCGAGCAATGTTGAGCACTTTTTCATGTGTCTGTTGGCCAGTTGGATGTCTTCTTTGGAAAAAATGTCTGTTCATGTCTTCTGCCCATTTCTTGATTGGATTCTTTTTTCTTTGAGTGTTGAGTTTAAGAAGTTCTTTATAGATTTTGAATACTAGCCCTTTATCTGATACGTCATTTGCAAATATCTTCTCCCATTCTGTCGGTTGTCTTTTGGTTTTGTTGACTGTTTCCTTTGCTTTGCAAAAGCTTTTTATCTTTATGAAGTCCCAATAGTTCATTTTTGCCCTTGCTTCCCTTGCCTTTGGCGATGTTTCTAGGAGGAAGTTGCTGTGGCTGAGGTCGAAGAGGTTGCTGCCCGTGTTCTCCTTTAGGATTTTGATGGACTCCTGTCTCACATTGAGGTCTTTCAACCATTTGGAGTCTATTTTTCTGTGTGGTGTAAGGAAATGGTCCAGTTTCATTCTTCTGCATGTGGCTGTCCAATTTTCCCAACACCATTTGTTTAAGAGACTGTCTTTTTTCCATTGGGCAGTCTTTCCTGCTTTGTCAAAGATTAGTTGACCATAGAGTTGAGGGTCCATTTCTGGGCTCTCTATTCTGCTCCATTGATCTATGTGTCTGTTTTTGTGCCAGTATCATGCTGTCTTGATGATGACAGCTTTGTAATAGAGCTGGAAGTCCGGAATTGTGATGCCGCCAGCTTTGCTTTTCTTTTTTAACATTCCTGTGGCTATGCGGTGCCTTTTCTGGTTCCATAAAAATTTTAGGATTATTTTTTCCATTTCTTTGACAAAAGTGGATGGTATTTTGATGGGGATTGCATTGAATGTGTAGATTGCTCTAGGTAGCATTGACATCTTCACAATATTTGTTCTTCCAATCCATGAGCATGGAACGTTTTTCCATTTCTTTGTGTCTTCCTCAATTTCTTTCATGAGTATTTTATAGTTTTCTGAGTACAGATCCTTTGCCTCTTTGTTTAGATGTATTCCTAGGTATCTTATGGTTTTGGGTGCAATTGTAAATGGGATCGACTCCTTAATTTCTCTTTCTTCTGTCTTGTTGTTGGTGTATAGGAATGCCACTGATTTCTGTGCATTGATTTTATATCCTGCCACTTGACTGAATTCCTCTATGAGTTCTAGCAGTTTTAGGGTGGAGTCTTTTGGGTTTCCCACATAAAGTATCATATCATCTGCAAACAGTGAGAGTTTCACTTCTTCTTTGCTGATTTGGATGCCTTTATTTCTTTTTGTTGTCTGATTGCTGTGTATAGAACTTCTAATACTATGTTGAATAGCAGTGGTGATAGTGGACATTCCTGCCGTGTTCCTGACCTTAAGGGGAAAGATCTCAGTTTTTCCCCATGAAGAATGATATTCGCTGTACATTTTTCATAGATGGCTTTCATGATACTGAGGTATGTACCCTCTAAACCTAATACTCTGACTGGTTTTGATCAAGAAGGGATGCTGTACTTTGTCAAATGCTTTTTCTGCATCTATTGAGAAGATCATATGATTCTTGTTCTTTCTTTTGTTAATGTATTGTATCACATTGATTGATTTGCAGATGTTGTACCAACCTTGCAGCCCAGGGATAAATCCCACCTGGTCGTGGTGAATAATCCTTTTAATGTTCTGTTGGATCCTATTGGCTAGTATTTTGGTGAGAATTTCTGCATCCATGTTCATCAGGCATATTGGTCTGTAATTCTCCTTTTTTTTTTTTTTAAAGATTTTTATTTATTTATTCATGAGAGACAGAGAGAGAGGCAGAGGGAGAAGCAAGCTCCCAAGGAGCAGAGAGCCCGATGCGGGACTCGATCCCAGGACCCTGGGATCATAACCTGAGCCAAAGGCAGACACTTAACCATCTCAGCCACCCAGGCGCCCTGTAATTCTCCTTTTTGATGGGGTCTTTGTCTGGTTTTGGGATCACGGTAATGGTGGCCTCATAACACGAGTTTGACGTTTTCCTTCCATTTCTATTTTATGGAACAGTTTCAGAAGAATAGGTATTAATTCTTCTTTAAATGTTTGGTAGAATTCCCCTCGGAAGCCATCTGGCCCTGCGCTTTTGTTTGTTGGGAGATTTCTGATGACTGCTTCAATTTCCTTAGTGGTTATAGGTCTGTTCAGGTTTTCTATTTCTTCCTGGTTCAGTTTTGGTACTTGATACATCTCTAGGAAAGCATCCATTTCTTCCAGGTTATTTAATTTGCTGGCATATAGTTGCTCATAATATGTTATTATTGTTTGTATTTCTTTGGTGTTGGTTGTGATCTCTCCTCTTTCATTCATGATTTTGTTGATTTGGGTCATTTCTCTTTTCTTTTTTATAAGTCTGGCTAGGGGTTTATCAATCTTATTAATTCTTTCAAAGTACCAGCTCCTAGTTTCGTTGAGCTGTTCTACTGTTCTTTTAGTTTCTATTTCATTGATTTCTGCTCCGATCTTTATTATTTCTATTGTCCTGCTGGGTTTTGGCTTTATTTGCTGTTCTTTCTCCAGCTCCTTTAGGTGTAGGGTTAGGTTGTGTACTTGAGACCTTTCTTGTTTCTTGAGAAAGGCTTGTATTACTCTATACTTTCCTCTTAGGGCTGCCTTTGCTGCATCCCAAAGATTTTAAATAGTTGTGTTTTCATTTTCATTGGTTTCCATGATTTTTTTAAATTCTTCTTCTTTTTTTTTTAAGATTTTATTTATTTATCTGAGAGAGAATGGGAGACAGAAAGCATGAAAGGGGGAGGATCAGAGGGAGAAGCAGACTCCCCGCCGAGCAGGGAGCCCGATGTGGGACTCGATCCCGGGACTCCAGGATCATGACCTGAGCTGAAGGCAGTCGCTTAACCAACTGAGCCACCCAGGCGCCCATTAATTCTTCTTTAATTTCCTGGTTGACCCATTTATTCTTTAGTAGGATGTTCTTTAGCCTCCATGTATTTGAGTTCTTTCCAACTTTCCTATTGTGACTGAGTTTTAGTTTCAAAGCATTGTGGTCTGAAAATAGGCAGGGAATTATCCCAATCTTTTCGTACCGGTTGAGACCTGGTTTAAGACCTAGGATGTGATCAATTCTGGAGAATGTTCCATGCACACTAGAGAAGAATGTGTATTCTGTTGCTTTGGGATGGAATGTTCTGAATATATCTCTGAATTCCATTTGGTCCAGTGTGTCATTTAAAGTCTTTATTTCCTTGTTGATCTTTTGCTTAGATGACCTCTCCATTTCAGTGAGGGGTGTGTTAAAGTCCCCCACTATTATTGTATTGTTGTCGATGTGTTTCTTTGCTTTTGTTATTAATTGCCTTATATAATTGGCTGCTCCCATGTTAGGGGCATAGATATTTACAATTGTTAGACCTTCTTGTTGGATAGACCCTTTAAGTAGGATATAGTGTCCTTCCTCATCTCTTAGTATATTCTCTGGTTTAACATCTAATTTGTCTGATATAAGGATTGCCACCCCATCTTTCTTTTGGTGTCCATTAGCATGGTAAATGGTTTTCCACCCCCTCACTTTCAATTTGGGGGTGCCTTTTGGTCTAAAAAGTGTCTCTTGCAGACAGCATATCAATGGGTCTTGTTTTTTAATCCAATCTGATAGCATGTGTCTTTTGATTGGGGCATTTAGCTCATTTATGTTCAGGGTAACTATTGAAAGGTATGAATTTAGTGCCATTGTATTGCCTGTAACGTGACCGTTACTGTATATTGTCTGTGTTCCTTTCTGGTCTATGTTGCTTTTAGGCTCTCTCTTTGCTTAGAGGACCCCTTTCAATATTTCTTGTAGGGCTGGTTTTGTGTTTGCAAATTTCTTTAGTTTTTGTTTGTCCTGGAAGCTTTTTATCTCTCCTTCTATTTTCAATGACAGCCTAGCTGGATATAGTATTCTTGGCTGCATATTTTTCTCATTTAATGCTCTGAATATATTATGCCAGTCCTTTCTGGCCTGCCAGGTCTCTGTGGATATGTCTGTTGCCAATCTAATGTTTCTACCCTTGTAGGTTACATATCTCTTCTCCCAAGCTGCTTTCCGGATTTTCTCTTTGTCTCTGAGACTCATAAGTTTTTCTATTAGATATCAGGGTGTTGACCTATTTTTATTGATTTTGAGAGGGGTTCTCTGTGCTTCCTAGATTTTGATACCCGTTTCCTTCCCCAAATTAGGGAAGTTCTCTGCTATAATTTGCTCCAATACACCTTCTGCCCCTCTCTCTCTTTCTTCTTCTTCTGGGATCCCAATTATTCTAATGTTGTTTCATCTTATGATATCACTCACCTCTCAAATTCTGCCCTCGTGGTCTAGTAGTTGTTTATCTCTCTTTTTCTCAGCTTCTTTATTTTCCATCATTTGGTCTTTTATATCACTGATTCACTCTTCTGCCTCATTTATCCTTGCAGTTAGCACCCCCATATTTGATTGCACCTCATTAATAGCCTTTTTGATTTCGACTTGATTAGATTTTAGTTCTTTTATATCTCCAGAAAGGGTTTCTCTCATAACTTCCATGCTTTTTTCGAGCCCAGCTAGTATCTTTAAAGGATGTTTCTGAGCTCTAGATCCGACATCGTACTAATGTCCGTATTGAGTAGGTCCCTGGCAGTCGGTATTACCTCTTGTTCTTTTTGTTGAGGTGATTTTTTCCGTCTTGTCATTTTGTCCAGAGGAGAATGGATTAATGATAGAACCAAATCCTAACAGGGGAACAACGTCCTCAGAAAATATACTTTAAACAAATCAGAAAAGACCTGAAACAGGGGGAAAAGAAAGGGAGAGAGAAAAGAAAAAGAAAAAGATAAAGATAAAAACTAACAAAAACAGAAAAACGAAAAACAGAATATGATCAAATATGATCAGGTTGGTACATAGATCAGTGCCCCACACCAGACTTTGGGTGTATTTTGGTCTGTTAGAAGAAAGTGCTTCCCAAAATTTTAAAGAAAGAAAAACTTATATATGTACAAAAATAAGGGTTGGTATGATGAAGGGATGGAATATGAGTGTAAAGATGAAAATTATAAAAAAATTTATAAAAGGAATAGATAAGAAGTTGTTTGAAAAAAAAAGAAGAGGATAAAAAAAAGAAAAAAAGGGAGAGAATGTGATCAGGTAGGGGAGTAGAAAAAAACCATACACTAGAGTTTTAGGGTATATTTTGATCTGTTAGAAGACACTATCTCAAAATTTTAAGGAGAGAACAACTTATATATATATACATATGCCAAAAATATAGGTAACTACTATGAAGGGATAGAATATGACTCTAAAAATGAAAAATAGAAATGTTTTTTATAAAAGGGATTGATAAGATGGTGGTTGAAAAAGGGAAAAAGAAAAATTCAAAAAAAAAAGGACAGTAAAAAAAAATTAACTTTGAAAGACTAAAGAATCATGGATTCTAAAAAAGGCATAGATTCTATGTGCAGTATTCCCCTAGCACTGGAGTTCCGCCGTTCTCATTGATGGGTAAATTTGGTCTTGGCTGGCTGTTCTCGCTGATCTTCTGGGGGAGGGGCCTGTTTCCGTGGTTCCCAAATGTCTTTGCCAGAGGTGGAATTGCCCCGCCCTTGCCAGGTCCAGGCTAAGTAATCTGCTCAGGTTTGCTCTCGGGAGCTTTTGTTCCTTGCAAGCTTTCGGTACAGCTCCAGACGCCGAGAGTGAAAATGGCGGCTTCCCAATCTCTGCCCTAGAGGAGCTGAGTACTCGGGACCCCACTCCTCAGTGCACCCCCAGAGAAAAGCATTCAGTCACTCCTGCCTCCCTGGTCTCCGGCCGCACTCCATGCTCCCCCGGCCTGTGACCGCGCGTTTCTATCTCTGGCACCCGACCCCATGTGAAGTCTCCAAACCCAGCAGATCCTTTCAGTGTGCTCCTGCGCCACTCCTCCTGGGGGAGTCTCCCTGGATCTGCCGCTTGTTGGGTCCCTGCTGGAGGAGCAGTGGCCTGACTGTGCTGCGGATTACGGTTTATGGCAACCCCGAGCTGAGAGCCTGCTCCTCGGCTCTGTCTCTGCAGCCAGCTTCCCCGCTCCAATACCTGGGAGCTCTGCCACAGTCAGGCACCCCCGGTCTTTTTGTGACCCCGAGGGTCCTGAGGCCACACTGTCCCATGAGGGTTCCACCCCCCGCTTAGCCACTGGAGCGACGTCCCACAGCGGAGCACACTTCTAAAAGTTCCAATTTTGTGCTCTGCCGCTCTATCACTTGCCAAAAGCGGCTGACAGAGGCCCCCTCCCCCACGGTCTACCCTCCCAAATATTGCCTGGGATTCACTTCTCCACATGTCCTACCTTCCAGAAAGTGGTTGCTTTTCTGTTCAGAGAGTTGTTGCTTTTCTTTTCTTCGATCTCCTGTTGAGTTTGTAGGTGTTCAGAATGGTTTGATCCCTATCCAGCTGAATTCCTGAGACCAGACGAAATCCAGGTCTCCTACTCCTCTGCCATCTTGCTCTGCCCCCTCCCTGGTGGCTTTCTGCATCTCTTCCGGGAGTCAGAGCAGAAGAGACCATTTCCAACCCTCTGCCTCAGAGGAAAGAGACCGCAGTCTGTTCTTCAGTGAGCTCTCCAGGCCACACTGTCTCCGTTTCTATCTGTGCTGCTATAAACTGCAGTGTCCTGGGTTGTGCACCCTCCGCAGCAACCCTAGTCCTGCCTCCAGGTTGGAGCATGTCTCTGCCCTTTGTGCTTCTAAAACTGCCAGCCGCTCCCAGCTCCCATGCGCATGACCCCAGCACTCTGGGTTTCCGTCCAGGGGGCTGCAGTTTGCAGGCGCGACCCCAGTGCTCTGGGTTTCCACCCCGGGGGCTGCTTTAAAGTCCTTTCCCCGCTGCTACGGGTCTGCGAGTCTGTGCCCCGTCAGCAGCACACGAGGCTGTCACTCACCAGTGGTGTAGGATCCCCACAGCCAGGCACCCTCTCACTGCCATTTATCCTCCGATATCTGCCCATGGAATCACGGCTCTCTGCTTCGTACCTCAAAACCAACTGCCTATGATATTCTGTTCGTAGAGATCTAGATCTTCTTACATCTCAGGCTGGTTTCATGGGTGCTCAGAGTGGTCTGGGCTCAATTCCGGGGATCAGTTGAAATAGGGTCCCCTACTCCTCTGCCATCTTTCCCCCCTCTCTTTATTTTTTTTAAAGATTTTATTTATTAATTTGAGAGAGAGAGAGAGAGAGAGTGTGCATGCATGTGAGCATGTGCAGGAGCAGGGAGAGGGCCAGAGGGAGAAGCAGACTCCCCACGAGCTGGGAGCCCAAAATGGGGCTCAATCCCACGACCCTGAGATTATGACCTGAGCTGAAGACACACACTTAACCAACTGCACCCCCCAGGCACCCCTGTAAGTCTGTCTTTAATTGGTAAGTTTAATTCATGTACATTTATTGTGAAGTTATCTTTTATTATTGTTATTTTTTTATTTTAGTATTGTTGACACATGCAGTTTCATTAGTTTGAGGTGTGCAACTTAGTGATTCAACAACTATATATGTTATGCTTTGCTCACCACAAGTGTAGGTGGCATTTCACTTTTTACTTTTCATTTATGATATTTTTTGTTTTTTTGTGTTTTTTTTCCTTTTTGCTTTCTATGAGATAGATCAAGTTTTCTCCTGTTTTATAGAAAGTTATATATTTTCTTACCCTTTAACTTAAGATCTGACCTCATGTTATTCACCCCTATTGAGTTTTACCCATACAATAACTGCAACTTCTTTCAACAACATATCTACCTTTGCAGGCTCTTATGTTTCATTTATCTTCCTTTCACACCTACCCCGTCATGGTAACATCATCTAGAATTTTAATCTTTCCTAGAATCCATGTTTCCCCTCTCACTTTTATAGTTTCTACAGTGCTGATTTAGGAAATACAGACCATACTAGTTTGCTACCTTGCTACTAGAAAGCCTCAAAGAAGTTTTGTAGCAAATTAAGAGCATTTATCTTGCTTTGAATTATCCAACTTTAATCACAGGGGGCAGTGAGTCAATAACTTAATCAGTATTTTTTCCCCAAATAACAGGTAGAAAATGTGAAATTACTGGATCGTCATGTGTGTAAGAAACCTGCTAATGGGATTTTATATCTTACTGCAACCCATCTGACATATGTAGAGGCTTCTGGTGCAGCCCAGAAAGAAACATGGGTATGTTTACAAGAAGAAATATCAAAGGGTCTTAAAGAGTTGTGTTTACATGCTAATATGGTAGTTTCTTGAAATTTAAAGTAACAGTCAAATTGCTCTGAAACCTTTTCTTCAAAGAATCTATTCTATGTTTTTTTTATCATAGATTGAATCATATGCCTCTTTGTCCCTCAAGTTATTGACTGTGGTCATCTTAGTCATTTAAAACTACATTTTTTTTCTCAATATTTTTAGGTAGGGTAGTCTCTGCTCATTTTCTGAGCCTAGTTGATAAGCTCCTTAGCTTATCAACTGAAGCAATTTAAAACCTTGCTACCCATAAAGTGTGGCCCAAGAACCTGGGTGCCTGTTAAAAATGCAGAGTCTCATTTCTAAGATTTTTAATATTTTAAGGATTTATTTATTTGAGAGAGTGAGCTAAAAAGAGAGAGTGAGCACTGAGCAAGGGGGAGGAGCAGAGAGAGAGGAAGAAGCAGACTCCCTGCTGAGCAAAGATCCTGATTCAGGGCTGGATCCCAAGACCTTGAGATCACGACCTGAGCTGAAGGTAGATGCTTAACCCTTTGCGCCACCCAGGCGCCATAGATTTTAAATTTCTGAAAAGCTCTTAGGTGTTGCAGATGGCCCACGGACTATACTTTGGGTATCATTTATTTGAACCATCTCTCTGACCTAAGACAGGTTATGTTTCTCATGTGCATGTATGTGTGTTTCTTGTTATACCTTTAAACAATGTTTTCTAATTAGTTTAGCACCCCAAACATCACTATATGCCTTCCCCACCCTAAAGTAGCATCATTCAATCTTAACTTAATCATTAGCCAGATTTATGCTTAGACTTATTTGTTTATAACAAGTGTAACATACTTCTGGTATATGACATAGCATAGTAATTAAGATCACAAGCTCTAGAGCCAGTCTGCTCAAGGTGAAATCCCAGCTTCAACATTTATTATCTTAGTAACTTTGGGCAATTTATTTAATTTTTCTGTGTCTCACTTCTCTCATGTGTAAAATAGGGATAATAATAATACCTTGTTATGAGAATAAAAAAACTTAATGGCATAAATGCTTAGTACAGTGCCTTGCACATGATACGTACTACAGTAGTCCCCTCCTTATTCACAGCGGACATATCCCAAGCCCCCCATTGGATGCCTGAAATTGCAGAAAGTACCAAACCCTATGTATACTATGATTTTTCCTATATATACATACCTCTGGTAAAGTTTAATTCATAAATTAGGCATAGTAAGAGATTAACAACAACAATAATAAAATAGAACAATTATAACAATATACTGTAATAAAAGTTATGTTAATGTGATCTTTCAAAATAGCTTCTTATACTGTATGCACCCTTCTTGTGATGATGTGCTATAACACTATGCCTGTGTGATAAGATGAAATGAGATGAATGATGTAGACATTGTAACATAATGTTAGGCTACTACTGACCTTCTGATATGTCAGAAGGAGGTTCACCTTCTTCTGGGCCACAGTTGACCAGGAGTAACTGAAGCTACAGAAAACAAAACTGCAATTAAGGTGTGGGGGGGGAACTACTGTATTATATAAGTATAATATATGAATATACATATGAAAGAAGTATTTTAACACTTCCTTTTAAAAATATCATGAACTTTCCCATGAGATTGTATCTTGCCCCCTTTGGTGTGATAAAAGGAATGCCAAAAGAGGAATTAGGAGAGCTAGTTCTAGCTAGAGTTAGCTGTCCACTAACTGGCTATGTGACCTTAGGCAAGTGACTCTTGTTCTCTGAGCTTCAATTTCCTAGTTTGTAAAATAAGTTTGTTAGCTTATATAATTATTTAGGAATCTCCCATTTCTAAGTTTGGAAACCAGTTCTTTAGTATTGTGCTGTGAGCCTTTTTCCTTTCTACCTGCATTCATAGATAGCACACATGTTTCCAGATTTGTTCCTACTGGATATTATTTCAAACCTGGTGGACTAGATCTGGAAGGGAGAACTTATGCTAATTATTTCTATATGTCAAAGGAGGCAGAATTACTCAATTAGTACTATTAATGTAGTTCTTCCCAGTCTTTGTCTGCTTCACTTTCCCCCTCTTCCCAACTCAGCAGCTTTTTGCCTGGTGCCTGATCTTCATGATCAGTGTTTTACTACCCAAACACAGATGCATGTTGATCAACAGGGCTCTGATTTTCTTGAAATTTGATATATTAATTCTTATTACATTATAGGTAGTTTTTGTGGCCCCTCCAAAACTGCCATGGCAGGAATTGAGTTTGACAAAACAATTAAGACAAATTAAGATGGAAAATCTCTGTCAGGGATATATGAATGGTCCCCACACCTGTCCCTTTCTTAGATGGTGCATATGATTGAAAGATTTCCTGTAAGAGATGTCTTTTTCAAATAAATTGGGGCTGGGGCATGGAGTGTGTGGGGTGGAGGAAAAGAAAAGGCAATGATGATCAGAAGGCCATTCTATGCATAGGATAGGGAGTCAGGAGAATGGAAAGAGTACATCTAGGCTCTAGTTGCAGGAAACATCAAAGATACAGGAAGAATATCAAAGACTAAATCATAAAACCATTATTCCATGGCTTTTGGAATGTATAAAGAAAAAATTATATTATTTAGGTACAGTTTCTTTTACCATTTCCCTTTACATGCATTTATTTCTTTTCTACTGGCATCAGCATGGTGAGGAGTGATTAGACTGAAAAATTAGTCAATCTTCCATTTTTAAAAAATCAGATTCTTTAACCTGTATTCCCATGGGAAACTTTATTAACTATGGTACAGTGCTTATGAACTGAAAAAAGAACTATAGTTCGTTTAGTTCTTAGTCTTATATTCTCTACTCATTTACTAAATTACTTAGGAAAATTTTTTGCCCACTTCATTCTTTGTTTTCCTGTTACTAGAGTCTAAAATTTGGAAGAGAAATGTTCCTCCTAGTATTAGAATTACACCTAACTCCAGCACTAGACTTTTTAGAATTTCTAGAGAAGTAATCCTGGACGTGGAGTTGGACTGCCATGATTTAAATTCTATTTGTGCCACTTCTTGACTGTGTGCCCTCTGATAAGGAATTCATTCTCAGAACTCTGGTTTCTTCATTCTCAAAATGGGGTGATTATACCTCAAGGGTTTATTACAGGGATTAAATAGCTAATGGTCATGGACTACCTTGTGAGCAATAAGGCAAAATAGCAATTATTAATCATTGTAATTAGATTTGGTAGAATGAAAGAAAGTTCTCTTTTCCTCTGTGTCAATTATTCTATGATTGTAAGCTTCACCATTGTATGGAGAAGACATCTATTCTGAGCCAATTCACGTCAATTGCCCCACAAACCTATTAACCTTATATCCCAAGGGAGAGAGAAGTTTTATAACACTGCAATTTGATTCTTATTGATTTACCACTATGTACTTCTGTTTGTGAGAAACCCCATTGTGCCTTACAAAGGATGGTTGTAGGCTGTAGAAATGACTACCTCTGGGTATGCGTTACTGTTGCTGAAAGTCAGGTTCACTGATAGTCATAGACCTAGTGCATGTCTGTGAATTTATTTTGGTTCTTTTCTGTTTTGTAGATTGCACTGCTTCACATTGCCAATGTAGAGAAGTTGCCCATCACTAGCCTGGGCTGTCCCCTGATCCTTCGCTGCAAGAACTTCCAGGTGGCCCACTTTGTTTTAAACTCTGACATTGTGTGCCATGAGGCTTATAATTTGCTGCTCAAGCTTTCTCAGCCAGGTAGTTATGACAGTATTTTTATTTTATTTTAACTTTTTCCCCAGAATGGCATAATAGAAAGATCATGGGTTATGGAATTAAACAGAACAGAGTTTGTATCTGGGCTGTGCTACTTCCCAGCCTCGTGGTATTTGGGGAAGTTGTATAAGCTCTGAACTCAGCTTCCTCATCTTTAAAAGTAGTAATGGAATATTATTCAATCATAAAAAAGAATGAGATCTTGCCATTTGCAACAACATGGATGGACCTAGAGAGTATGATGCTTAGTGAAATAAGTCAGTCAGAGAAAGACAAATACCATGATTTCACTCATATGTGGAATTTAAGAAACAAAACAAGGAAAGGGAAAAAAATAAAAGAGAGACTGAGAGAGAGAGAGAGAAAGAAATCAAGAAACAGATTCTTAATTATAGAGAACAAACTGATGGTTACCAGAGGGGAGAGGATGGGTAGATGGGTTAAACAGATGATGGAGATTAAGGAGTACACTTATGATGAGTACCAGATATTTTATGGAAGTGTTGAATTACTATTTTGTACACCTGGAACTAATTGGAATTAAAATGAAAACTTAAAAAACACATATAATATTTTAAATATTTTATTTGTTTATTTGACATAGAGAGAGAACATGCCTGCACAAGCAGGGGGAGTGGCAGGCAGAGGGAGAGGGAGAAGCAGGCTTCCCGCTGAGCAGGGAGCCTGATGCAGGGCTCTATCCCAGGACCCTGGGATCATGACCTGAGCTGAAGGCAGATGCTTAACCGACTGAGCCACACAGGTGCCCCAACACATGTAATCTTTTGGAAAAAGTAGTGATAGTATAAGTTCCCCATGGGGGTTGTTTTGAGGCTTAAATGCATTTGTGCATTTTACTCTGTACTTGGTATATAGTACAAAATTTAATAGATGTTATTTTCTTCTCTCTCCCTCCTTCCTTTTAAGTGTCAACTTGTAAATTATTCGTCAGTTCAGGAAGACTGATTTGGAGAAAAATTTGTTTCCTCTTGTCTCATAAGCTTTATGTTTGTCCCACTATTCCTACCCCTACATTCAGTTCCAATCAGAAGACTAGGGCAGTTTATCAGAGTCCTTAATAATGAAGTTATCCTTCTTTCCTCCAATCTCACTGTCTCACCCTCCAGCCCCATATCTAGGTGGCCAACCAGTCAGCCACCTGTGATTTTAATGTGTGGAATTTTCATGCTCTTGTGTTTTCCCTCCCATTTTCCTCCACCCTTTCCCCAGAATTTGCTGGAATTTTGTTGATAGAGTTTAACTGTCAGCCAACCCAATACCTTATAAGACATGGGCAGAATCTATCCATCTCTGGAAAAGTTGTTGCCACATAAATTGGTCAAATGCGTTACTTTTTTTTTCAAATCCAGCAAAATTTATTGTTTATTTAGGTTTTAACTCTTCTTTCTTTCTTTATTTTTATTACGTTAGTCATCAAAAACTAATGATGTACTTATGGTGATTTTTTTTAAAGATTTTATTTATTTATTTGAGAGAGAGAATGAGATAGAGAGAGCATGAGAGGGGGGAGGGTCAGAGGGAGAAGCAGACTCCCTGCTGAGCAGGGAGCCCGATGCGGGACTCAACCCCGGGACTCCAGAATCATGACCTGAGCCAAAGGCAGTCGCTTAACCAACTGAGCCCACCCAGGTGCCCTACTTATGGTGACTAACATAACAAATGCGTTATTGATTGCACGTTTCATCTTGTGAAGAGAGGAAGTGGGGTTGACAGAGAGAAGAGAAGAAATAGCCATTTATCAGTCAAGAGCAGGATTTGACCTGACAAGTGGAATACAAGAACGCTGTTATTGCTTTGCAACATGTTAAAAAAACAACAACAACAACATAGCAATTAGATGACTGAAGCTCAGTTAAAAACTTTTGGTAAGGACCACTTTCCCACCCTGTGGAACCCTGAAGTTTTGGTTTAGTCCATTATCCAGCAATTCACAGGAAGCCAGAAAGTATGTTCCTACTTTGTATTCGTATCACAAAAAAATTAAAACATTTTAAAAAGAAGACTTTAAAGCAATATTCCAGTTCTTATTCCTTACATAAAACCAGTGTTGTATACAACTCATTGTCCTTTTCTGGGGCTGTTTGGACAAACATTCCCTTTAGGAGAAGGAAATCTAGCCTTTTTTTTAAGGCATTATTTGTTGTTCTTTAAGTTTCACTCATTATTACTTTGTTTTCATGCTTATCTCCTCCAGCATTTCTTGAAGATCTCTATGCTTTTTCTTATAATCCCAAATCCTCAAAAGAGATGAGTGAAAATGGGTGGAAATTGATTGACCCAATATCAGACTTTGGGCGTATGGGAATACCCAACAGATACTGGACCATAACAGATGCCAACAGAAACTATGAGGTAATTTTGTCATTGTTGTTTTCCTTTTGATCCATTTAATCAAGACAGAAGAATATCAGCAAACAAGCTTTTGGAAAAGGAAAAATCACTCATAATCTCTTCTTTTTATTTAACGTTCAGCCATTCAACATTTATTAAGTACCTACTGCACCTAAGACACTGAGTCAGAGTTCTCATAGTCTAAAGCATAGGGTGCTATGGGAGCATAGATGAAGGATATGGAATTCAGACTAGGAAGCCAAAAACAGCCTGATGCTTTGGGGAATAGTCTGGAGAAAAAAATCTATCCTAATTTATACAGGGAGAGAAGGAAGAAGGTCAGGAAATGAAGCCACATCATGAAGAGCTTCGTGGCCAAATTAACAAATCTGAACATTATCCTGAAGACAGGAGCCACTAGAGTATTTTAATCTAGTAAAGAATGTGAGTGTATTTGTATTTTAGGAAGATAACTTTGGTATTGGTGTGGAGAATTGGTTTGCTGGAGCTAAGAATGCAGGAGAATGATATGAGAAGTGATGAGAACCTGAACTAAGGCAATAACTATAGATGGAGAGGAGGAGATGGTTTTAAGAGATAGGTGGTAAAATTGAAAGAACCTGGTGACAGATTAATGTGGCTGGGATAAAGAGGGAGGAAACCTGCATCTCAGATGCATCCCAGGTTTCTGGTTTAGGTGACCAAGGTAATGGATATGTTAGCCAAGATAAACAACTTAAGAAGAGGGACACATGGTGTCTTCAGTTTTAGATTTGAGTTCAGGGTGATTAAAAGATACCACGTATTTGAGTCTGGATCTCAAGAGCGAGCTCTGGGCCAAAATAGAGGTCTGGGAATGTGTTGGGGTTCCCCAAGACCATCCCTCAGGTTTAGTGATTTACTAGGACTCACTGGACTCAACATATCGTCATGCTTGTGGCTGTGATTTATTATAGCAAAAGAATAGAAAACAAACTCATCAAAGGGAAAACACGCAAAGTCCAGAGAAAACCAGGCATGGGCTTCAGAATTCTCTCCCAGTAATCACATAAGACATGCTTAATTTCTCTAGCAACAAACTGTGACAATATGTGAAAAATGTTATTTACTAGGGAAGCTCATTGGAGAATTAGTGCGCAGGATATTGGGGGCTGGTCAAATAGGCACTGTCTGCCTAGTGTATACCAAAGTCCCAGATGCCCAGAAGGAAAGCAAGTGCTCAGCATAGCATAAAACACATAATTTGTACAAACAGTTTAGGCACAGTGAGTCAGTCTTATCAGTTAGGGAATGGTGGGAACGCTTCCAGAATCCAAGTTCCCAGGCACCAGCCAAGGTCCATCCTTGCAAACAGGCCTTTAGAAGGATAGTAGTCAGACCTTTAATGATAACTTTTCTGCACAGGTGTTTAAGTAGTTTCTATGAATTGTTGGATCTTTATTTCCAGCATTTTATTATTATAAAAAGACAGTAATTGTAATGCCTTTCTAGTAACACAGTTTTGAATATCCACTAGATATGAGGATTGATGAGCTGTCACTTAGCAGGGCCATCTGTGAGGTGGCTTGTTAGAGTCATAATTGACAGGAATAAGTAGAAATGAGGTGAATTCTTTCCAGTTCAAATATGTGTCTAAGTTGCCCAAATGAGGTCTGAAATATCTATGTTGGTACCTTAAATACATGTCGCCTTCTGAGTTGAAATGGAAGCTCCATTTATTTCTGTTTGCTTGACCCACTTCTCGAAAGTCTAAGTCCAGCTAAGAGCATGGGTAGAGAACTTTTTCTCTTTCAAATGTGCTGCATTCCAAGAACATTGACTTCAGTGAGTTACATAGAGCATTCTTGATCTGATCCACCTGGAACATTTTTTTGCCTATTCATATTTTTATTTGTTTGATCCATTGTCAAACGTTTGAGTGTGTCCTTTACTTAGAGGGGTGATTAGAATTAATTTGGCAATGTCAGGTCTGTGCTGTTACAATATTTTTTCACAGTCTCTTTAGAAAGATAATTTGGCAACTCCTAAAAGCTAAGAAGTTTGAGAAAATATATCATTCTTTTTATAAAGTAAGTGTACCTAAAATGTCAGCACTTCCACCCCCAGACTAGTATTTTAAAGACCCTCAAGGCAAGCATACTAGGAATCAGAATACATTTTAAGAAAGAGTAAATCATGTTTCTTCCTTCTCCACCTGTCTGCCTTATATTTGAATCTATCTATCCATTTTTATTATTTTTATTTATTTTTTCAGTCTATTTTTAAAATTTTACTTGTTTACAATATACATTGTTTGATAGGCAAGTGTAGGAATTTCAAGGTAGGGTTGTGTGTGTATTTCTACATATGATGTTTGGTATTCTAAAGGTAAATTTTGTTCTTATATGTCTCAAAACCTTCCTTTCTAGAAAATAATAGCATACTTGGAAGAACTTTATACTAAGAATATTTTTGTTCCTATTTCTGAGGAATGATGATTCTAGATGATAAATGCCAGACAGCTAATGCTTGAATGATTGCTGTTCCAAACTGTTGCTAGCAAGTACAAAATGTAAAAAAGAAAATGAGTTTTTAAAAATTTATTTTCTTTTAGGTATGCAGTACCTACCCTCCTGAAATAGTGGTTCCTAAATCTGTTACCCTGGGAACAGTGGTTGGAAGTTCAAAGTTCAGAAGTGAAGAAGGCTTACCTGTGCTCTCCTGCCTCTACAAAGAGAACAATGTGAGTTGAGCATACTTCTCTCATGAAAACTAAACTTGGCTCTAGAAGACTGGGGGTTAAGTCCCATCACTGCCACTTACTAGCTGTGTGACCTCAAGCAAGTTACTACTCTGAAATTTAGTACTTCTGAAGATTTTTAAATGGGTCACATAAGGGGAAAATATATGTGTACTTTATAAATTTTAGTGTTATGCACATGGCAAGTGGCATTTAGTGTGTTTATTTGTTTCTTTCCTTCTCTGCAGGCTCCAGTTTGATGGGAAGTTATTGAATGATAGGAAGCTAGTTGTATGATAGGATATTTTGGGACTGTGCCTCCTACTAGAACACAGATGTTCTTGATTGTTTCTCACTACTTTTCATATAATTTAAGCTAGTAAGAACAAGCACTTTACTCCTCTGAGTCCCCTTCTGTAGGAAAGGATAATAGTTCTTGCTTCTTGTGGTCACTCTGAGGTCTAGAGTTAAACAAGGTCAAGTTCTCAAATAGGCAACTATTCAAGTGCTAAAGAGTATAGTAATACAAATGGGTGTCTTTGTGTCAAACCATCAAAGTAAGAAGGCTACTAAAAAAAAACACACTAAAGTGTAATGCAGTCCATTAACTAATTATTACCACACATACTTGCTAAATAGCTATGTTGTTTTTATATTGATTCTTTTTTTTTTTTTAAAGATTTATTTGACAGAGAGACACAGCGAGAGAGGGAACATAAGCAGGGGGAGTGGGAGAGGGAGAAGCAGGCCTCCCGCAGAGCAGGGAGCCTGATGCGGGGCTCGATCCCAGGACCCTGGGACCACGACCTGAGCCGAAGGCAGACGCTTAACGACTGAGCCACCCAGGTGCCCCTCTTTTTTTTTTTTTAATATTGAAATGGCTTGAAACAGACCAGCTCACTGATTTCTCATTAACTCTGGAAATGAGTGATCCTTGTTCCCTTAAGATTGTCTTGATCTTTGTTTTATCTTGAATTCTGTTGCCACTGCCTCTGGCTTATGGGTGATATTACTGGGACTGTAAAAAGCAGGACAGTTCCAGAAAAAAATGCTAGCCTAATATATATTGAGAATAGAATTTTATTAAGGAAACACTCATGATGTGATTTTCTGATAGTCTGGATTTCCCAAGACTTGATTGGGAATATTAGCCATTAGAAGAACAGACTATTCTGAATAGCAGTTTATGGTAACACAGCCCACATGGCCAGGAGAAGCAGGAAGCTGAGCCCAAGGTCAGTGACATGCTTGGGCTTCAGAGCTACATCTGTTTTTGCTTCACTCTCCTCAGATGGCTCATCCTCTTCCTCTATTCACCAAAGCTTAAATCAAGCAGGATTTTGAACACCTGTGCATGGGATCAAACAACTGACATGTGTTTTTTTTCCTTACAGGCTGCCATTTGCTGTTGTAGCCAGACTTTGTCTGGATTATATACTCGCTGTGTTGATGATGAACTCTTGCTAAAGGCCATTAGCCAAACAAACCCAGGGAGCCAATTTATGTTTGTTGTAGACACAAGGCCAAAGGTATCTATCAATGATCTTTCTGACATTTCTACTTCCCTTATCTCGCAATTCTCCTACTCACATGTCAAATTTTGCAGCATTATTGGGAAAGTTAGTTTTGTATATATGGGGTTATTGTGTCAGACATTGTGTAAAATCATTTGAGCAAAACTTTTTGAGCATATGAGCTTATTTTATTTTTTATTATGTTATGTTAGTCACCATACAGTACTTCATTAGTTTTCGATGTAGTATTCCCTGAGTCATTGTTTGTGTATAACACCCAGTGCTCCTTGCAATACATGCCCTCCTTAATACCCATCACTGGCCTAACCCATCCCTCTACCCCCCTCCCCTCTGAGCTCCTTTTATTTTGGACTCTCACTGTCAAGCAAGACTGAGAAAGTACTTTGAAAAATGTAGATTTGCAACCTCCAGAATTTGTGACTTCTGAGTTGAATGACCTGGAGGTTCTTTGACATACCCTCATCTTTTTTTTTCAGATTTTGTTTAAATTGTAGTTAGTTAACATACACTGCAATATTGGTTTCAGGAAGAGAATTCAGTGGTTCAACACTTACATATAACACCCAGTGCTCATCATAACAAGTGCTGTCCTTAACATCCATCCCCCATCTAGCCCATTCCCCACCCACCTCCCTCCATCACCCCTCAGTTTGTTCTGTATCATAAAGAGTCTCTTATGGTTTGTTTCCTTCTCTCATTTTCCCCCTCCCATATGTTCATCTGTTTTGTTTCTTAAATTCCACATATGTGAGATCATATGGTATTTGTCTTTGACTGATTTCACCTAGCATAGTACACTGTAGCTCCATCCACATTTTTGCAAATGGCAAGATTTCATTCTCTTTTATGGTTGAGTAATATTCCATTGTATGTATATAACTCATCTTCTTTATCCATTGATCAGTCGATGGACATTTGGGCTCTCTCCAGTTTGGCTGTTGTGGACATTGCTGCTATAAACATCAGGGTGCATGTATCCTTTCACATCTGTATTTTTGTATCCTATGGATGAATAGCTAGTAGTGCATTTGCTGGATTATAGGGTAGCTCTATTTTTAACATTTTGAGGAACCTCCAAACTATTCTCCAGAGTGGCTGCACCAGTTTGCATTCCCACCAAGAGTGCAAGAGGGTTCCTCTTTCTCCACATCCTAGCCAATATCTATTGTTTCTTATGTTGTTAATTTTAGCCGTTCTGACAGGTGTGAGGTGGTATCTCATTGTGCTTTTGATTTGTATTTCCCTGATGATGAGAGATGTTGACTGTCTTTTCATGTGTCTGTTAGCCATCTTGATGTCTTCTTTGGAAAAATTTCTATTCATGTCTTCTGCTCATTTTTTAACTGAATTATTTGTTTCTTGGGTGTTGAGTTGGTAAGTTCTTTATAAATATTGGATGCTAACGTTTTATCAGATATGTCATTTGCCCATTCCATAGGCTGCCTTTTAGTTTTGTTGATTGTTGCCTTCACTGTGCAAAAGCTTTTTATCTTGAGGTAGGCCTGTATTACTATGTACTTCACTCTTATGACTGCTTTTGCTGCATCCCAAAGGTTTTAGAACATCATGTTTTCATTTTCATTTGGATCCATGTGTTTTTAAATTTTTTCTTTAATTTTCTGATTGACCCATTCATTGTTTAGTAACATGTTCTTTAACCTCTATGTATTTGTGGTATTTCCAAATTTCTTCTGGTTGACTTCTAGTTTCATAGCTTTGTGGTCAAGAAATATGCATGGCATGATCTCATTCTTTTTTGTACTTGTTGAAGCCGGATTTTTGACCTAGCATGTGATCTATTCTGGAGAATGTCCCATGTGTACTTGAAAATAATGTGTATTTTGCTGCTTTAGGATAGAATGTTCTGAATTTATCTGTTAAGTCCATCTGGTCCAGTGTGTCATTCAAAGCCATTGTTTCCTTGTTGATTTTCTGCTTAGATGATCTTTCCATTGCTGTAAGTGGCATGTGTTAAAGTACCCTATTATTATTGCATTATTATCAATGGGTTCCTTATGTTTGTTATTGGTTGTTTTATATATTTGGGTGCTCCCATGTTGAGGGCTTGACAATATTGACAATTGTTAGATCTTCTTGTTGGAGAGTCCCCTTTATTATGATATAGTGCCCTTCCTCATCTCTTGGTATAGTCTTTGGTTTAAACTCTAGCATGTCTGATATAAGTATTGCTACTCTGGCTTTCTTTTGACTTCCATTTGCATGGTAAATATTTCTCTATGCCCTCACTTTAAATCTGCAGGTGTCTTTATGTCAAAAATGAGTCTCTTGGAGCCAGCATATAGATGGGTCTTGTTTTTTAATCCATTCTGACACACTATGTCTTTTGATTAGAACATTTAGTCTATTTACATTCAGAGTAATTATTGATAGATATGTATTTAGGGCCATTTAATTACTTATTTTGTTGTTTCTGAGGATTTTCTCTGTCCCATTGTAGTCTTTGTCACTTTTGGATTTCTTTCCCTCTAAAAGAATCCCCTTTAATATTTCTTGCAGGGGTGGTTTAGTGGTCATGAACTCCTTTATTGATTGATCGATTGATTGACTCTCTGGGAAACTCTTGATCTCTCCTTCTCTTCTGAATGATAGCCTTGCTGGATAGAGTTTTCTTGGCTGCATATTTTCCCATTCAGCTTGTTGAATAAATCATACCATTTTCCTCTAGCTTGCCAAGTTTCTGCTTAGAAATCTGTAGCTAGCCTTATGGGTCTTCTAAGTTAGGGTCTTCTTAGCCTGCTGGTTTTAGGAATTATTTCAATAGCATTAATTTTGCAAAATTAATTACTGTATGTCTTGGTGTTGGCCTGCTTTTGATCATTTTGATGGTAGTTCTCTGTGCCTACTGGATATGGATGTCTGTTTCTTTCCCCATGTTAGGGAAGTTTTCAGATACTGTTTACTTAAATTTTCTGCCCCATTTTCTCTCTCTTCTTCTGGGATTCCTATAATATGAATGTTATTACATTTCATGGGAGGCTCTGCATTCTCAAAGTCTGTTTTCATACTGCATAGTTCTGCTTTCTCTTTTGTGCAGCTTCATTATTTTCCATTATTTTGTCCTTATATCATTTCTTCATTCCTCTTCTTCCAGGCTTGTGTTCATTGAATGAAGCCTGTTTGAATCTCAGTTATTGGATTTTTCATTTCATTTTTTTCTTTTTAATTTTTTTTTCTTTACATTCAGTTTAATTAACGTATACTGTATTATTAGTTTCAGAGGTAGAATGTAGTCATTCCTCAGTTGCATACAATCCACTGCTCATTGCTTCAAGTGCCCTCCTTAATGCCCATCACCCAGTTACACCATTCCCCCACCCACTTCCCAACCAACAACTCTTGTTTGTTTCATAGAGTTAAGAGTCTCTTATGATTTGACTCTCTCTCTGTTTTCATCTCATTTTATTTTTCCTTCCCTTCTCCTGTGTTCATCTGTTTTGTTTCTTAAATTCCACATCTGAGTGAAATCATATGGTATTTGTCTTTCTTTGACTGGCTTATTTCGCTTAGCATAATACCTTCTAGCTCCATCCACGTCATTGCAAATGGCAAGATTTCATTCTTTTTATGGCTGAGTAATATTTCATTGTAAATATATATCACATCTTCTTTATCCATTCATCTGTTGATGGACATCTCAGTTCTTTCCATGTTTTGGCTATTGTGGACATTGCTGCTATAAACACAGTGCCCCTTGAAATCACTGTGTTTGTATCCTTTGGATAAATACCTAGGAAGTGTAATTGCTGGATCATAGGGTAGCTCTATTTTTAACTTTTTGAGGAACATTCATACTGTTTTCCAGATTGGCTGCACCTGTTTGCATTCCCACCAACAGTTTAAGAGGGTTCCCCTTTCTCCACATCTTCACTCACATCTGTTTTCCTGACTTGTTAATTTTAGCCATTCTGACTGGTGTGATGTGATATCTCATTGTGGTTTTGATTTGTATTTCCCTGATGAGTGATGTTGAGCATTTTTTCATGTGTCTGTTGGCCATTTGTATGTCTTCTTTGGAGAAATATCTGTTCATGTCTTCTGCCCATTTCTTGACTGGATTTTTTTGTTTGTTTGTTTTGGGTATTGAGTTTGGTTCTTTATAGATTTTGGATACTAGCCTTTTATCTGATAAGACATTTGCAAATATCTTCTCCCATTTGTAGCTTGCCTTTTAGTTTTGTAGCCTGTTTCCCTTGCCGTGCAAAAGCTTTTTATCTTGATGAAGTTCCAGTAGTTCATTTTTGAATTTGTTTCCCTTGTCTTTGGAGACATGTCTAGCAAGAAGTTGTTGTAGCCTAGGTCAAAGGGGTTACTGCCTGTGTTCTCTAGGATTTTGATGGATTCCTGTCTCACATTGAGGTCTCTCATCCATTTTGAGTTTATTTTTGTGTATGATAGAAGAAAATAGTCTGGTTTCTGCATGTGGCTGTCCAGTTTTCCCAACACCACTTTTTGAAAAGACTGTCTTTTTCCCATTGAATATTCTTTGCTGCTTTGTCAAAGATTAGTTTACCATAGATTTGAAGGCCCATTTCTGTGTTCTCTATTCAATTCCATTGGTCTATGTGTCTGTTTTTGTGCCAGTATCATACTGTCTTGATGCTGACAGCTTTGTAATACAGCTTGATATCTATAGTTGTGATGCCTCCAGCTTTGGTTTTCTTTATTAACATTACTTGGTCTTTTATAGTTCCATACAATTTAGGATTTTTTGTTCCAGGTCTGTGAAAAATGCTGATGGTATTTGATAGGGATTGCATTGAATGTGTAGATTGCTTTTGGTAGCATAGACATTTTCACATTATTTGTCCTTCCAATCCATGAGCATGGAATGTTTTTCCATTTCTTTGTGTCTTCCTCAATTTCTTTCATAATTGATATGTAGTTTTCAGACTAAGGATCTTTTGCCTCTTTCAATTCTTTTATTTCTAGGTATTTTATGGATTTGGGTGCAATTGTTAATGGGATCGTTTCCT